ATCTTAAAAATAAAATCCTAATATACTAAGTGTCCAGTTGGCCGCTCAGCTGTTCAATCAAAGCACAATATGCTAATAATATGCTAAGGCGGCCTAACTGCTATGACGTGTACTGAACACCAGGGGCAGACGCTCCAACCAGTAGTTAGCTTGCTGCTGGGGTCTGGCTGATCCCGACAGAGTGAGATGGACTGGATATGCCCTGGAGTCCTCCCGTGGTCCCTCAGCTGGCCAACCTCCTGTGTCCCTTTTGGCCCTGGTGGGGTCCCTTGGTCTGGCCTGCACTCTCTTTACAATCTGGGACCCCTCAGGGGATGTCAGAGAGCCGGTTTTGGCCTGATCCCACAGGCCAGGTCGAGGGACCCCACTGGTGCACGAATATGTGCACCAGGCCTCTAGAGGGTGTGTGTGTGTGTGTGTGTGTGTGTGTGTGCACATGCATATATATATATGTAAAAGCCTAAGTGACTGGCCGACTGGCCAGTCGCTATGATGTGCACTGACCACCAGGGGACAGATGCTCAACACAGGAGCTGCCGAGTGACAGCAACTTTGCAGAGTGCCTTCTTGCACTCTGGGACCCCTTGGGGGATGTCAGACTGCTGGTTTCGGCCCAATCCCTTCATGCCAGGCCGAGGGGTCCCCCACCAATGCACAAATCCGTGCACAGGGCCCCTAGTACAAGAATAAATTGTATTTAATGTACTCACATTTGTAAACCTATTTTTGTCACACCCTGTATTTAATAGTTGATCCTGGCTATCAGTTGAGATCTCAGCTGGGCTCTTGGCTAGAATACCCACATATGACCTATCCATGTGGTAACTTTATTGAGTTTCTTTGGGCTTCCTTATAGCACGGCAGCTTAGTTTCAAGAGCAAGTCCCAGGAGAACAGGTAGAATAGTCTTCATAGTGACATTTCTATTGTACTTTTTTGGTTGAGTTGGTCAAATTGTAAGAGTGTCATGTGGGATGGGAGATACCTGGTGGTCTTTAGCAAATACATTCTTCCACAGTCCCCAACAACACTTAAAATAGTGTTGAACACACGTCATGAACTCAGTAAATATGATCGTGAATGAGTGACTATTAAAATACCCAGGTGGATGAGGATGAAATTTAAAAAATTTGATTCCATATGTGAACAGATTACCCCATTCATTATACCCAAACAAATATATACCTTCGCCTTTTATAGTTTCTTCTCTTTATTCTCTCACTCTATTTTCAACATGGGAATCTATGAATTTATCATGTAAAACTAAACTTGTTAAGGTCTTTGCATCTATGTTGCTCTTAGCAGAGGTGGGGAATGTCTGGCCTGCCAAAACATGCCAATCTTTGCCAGGCTTGTTCCCTGGCAGGGGGTGTGCAGGAGGTAGCTGGTTGCTGTTCTCTCTCCCTTCCTCTTTTCTAAAAATCAAACTATTAAAAAAGAGAGAAAATGCAATTATATAGATTTTCAATTATAAAATAACATTGTAGGCCTCCAGCATACTAGTAGACTGGGACCCTCTGAAATTCCAAAAGCTAAAACTATTTTAATCAGGTCATTTTACACAGTCTTCTCTAGCTCCGTTGTAGCTGTTTTCTGCTTATTCAACATTAGGCAAAATTTCAGTGGATAGAATTTCAGATTTTTAACTGCAGGTTCTAGTGGTTGTCAAGATTTTTTTTTTTTAAAGGAGAAGTAGCCTCTGTGGTACTGGGATGGATGCTCCAAATAGACTGTGACTCCTGGCAGCGATTCCAAGTCTATTCTAGGTGTGGATGCCAGTGTTAACATGAGGCTGGAGCCCACATCCCAGGAGCTCTCCATGCAGGGAGTAGTTAATAGTTTGAGATTTCAGGCCCCGTGGGCAAATACTAACTCATTTTGCTTAGCACTTTGATGCTTATTATTTCAGAGACCCGCAATCATCTCTCATGAGACAAATTGCTTATAACTTGTAAAAGAAATACCTTCTCTGGGTTTGGTTTAGGACAGTTCCTTTTTTTTCTTTCATCCCAACCCACTCTTTTCCCCTAGCCAAAAAAGGCATTTTTCCCTGAAGAAATGCAGCTGTCAGAGCAACTTGGAAGGGCTGAGTTGAACACAATGGACAGCGATGTGGATTCCTTGGCTCTCTCTCTGGCCATCCTCAACCCAGAGACTCGTGTGCTGCAGTGGGAGTGGCATGTTCATTCAGAGCACCTTGCAATCTTTGACCGTTCAAACGTGGGTCAAACTTTACTCTCCTAATATTCTTTTTCTGTCTCCCAGTACACATTCACTAGGTTGATTTTTACACAGCTGTGATGTAATACCCATATTTTCTTTTATTCTTTATGATCAGAATCTGCCAGCCCTAGAACTTTGCAACAGTTCTTCTTGTGCCTACCTGGGACTTCTTGCTGAGGTCCCTCTGCTATCAGGAGGGCTTTGTGTCCTGAATGGTGTACCAGTTTGTGGCAATATTTTTCTATTATGGGCAATAAGAAAATGGAACAGCTCAGCTGATCTAGGCTGTCTTTTTTTAAAAAATATATTTTATTGTCGAAACCGGTTTGGC